AGACCAAGAGCAGGTTCCGGGAGCGCATTCACTCACTCACCCGCGCCCCCCAAGCATCACCAGGTCAGAGGTCCGCGGCCACTCAGGGAGATGGCGCTGCCGACAGGCTGAGAGGAGGCTGCAGGACGAAGCCCACTCTGCTGGGACCTTGACCTTGGGAACAGCCTCTGGGGAAGGCAGGCTTTGTGCACAGTGAGGCCCACAACATGGAACTCCCCTCCGAGTTTAATCCAGTTCGTAATTTTTTAATTAAAATAATAACCACAACAACCCCCACCGAGTGGCTCAGTTGGTTGGAGCATCGTCCTGTCCACCGGAAGGTGTCAGGTTCCGTTCCCGTCAGGGCACACGCCTAGGCTGTGGTTCCACCCCTGGTCAGGAAGCATGTGGGAGGCGATGGCTCAGGCTACTCTCTCTCTCCCCTCCCCTCCCCTCCCCAAAATCAATAAAAACATCCTTGGGTGAGGATTTTTAAAAACACACAACTGGCACTTGCAACTCCAAAGCCCTCTGGAATTCTGTCCTCTCTGAACAAACTACATTATCAACGCTTTGACCCAACTGGCCCTCTTCACAGAACCACTGGGGTGTCCAGGGGGAATCAGCCCTGCGTGTGGGCCCTGCTTACGACTGCTGCTCCACACGCACCGGTCACTCACACCCGTGCACCAGCGCCGCACCGGCCACATGGGCCCAGTCCTATTTATAACCGAGGGACGCGGAGTTCTCACTCCCACCCCAGGCCTTGCTTCCAAACCTGCGCCAGCTCTGCGGGCAGCCGTTTGTTTATTACATAAAGGCCAGCGGGGCTCCTCGGCGGGACCTGGAGAGAAAACGGGATTATTGCTGCTTCCGCGCACCCGCGTTATCTCACCGCCAGCGCCAGCGGCGGGGGCTGCGGGGGCTGCAGCAGGGGAGCGGGCCCGGAGGCGGTGCTCCCCCCTCCCTCTGCACCCAGTCCAGGGTTAAAAACCATCCTAACGTGCTCCAGCCCAGCATCTTCCCAGCTAGGATGCACTAAAACCAGACGGAACAAAGGGCTGCCGTTTCCCGGTGGAGGAGGGGTCAGAGGAAAGCGAGAACTGGCAGCACCCCCTCTTCGGCACTGAGCCCTTCCTCCCGACCAGCCCCCTCGGGAGCGGGAGGCAGGCGGGCGCAGGGACAGCCACCCCACAGCGTCTCCTGCTGTCGTCACTGATGACATCATCCTCTCTGATGACAACAGCCGCGCCATCGGTAAGTGTGCTCTCCAAGAGCCACAAGCACGACTCGAGGGATCCTTACCCAGCAGCTGCTCAGATTTCTCCCTAAGCTCCTCGGCTGAGACCCAGGCTATGCCAACTGCTGGGTATTTTAAGGGTAAATTCTTAGGTATTGGAAAAACAAATGCATTCGATTGGCTTTTCTAAAAAGATCACTTCCTACAGACTCCCTCCTGACCAGGCCTCACGGCACATGCTAAACTCTGACGTGGAAAACAGCCTTTCTCCCCACGGCGTGAGAGCAAAGAGCAGGTTCAGTTCTACGTCTTCCTCTAATAGAGGCGGCCAGCGATTAGCAAACCCTCTAAGATGCAGTCTCTCTCCTGGGTGGGTCTGTCTGTCCGTCTTACAACGGCCTCGGCAGGACCAGGGCCCGGGCAGGTCCCCAGGAAGCGAGCGCAGGGCGTTCACGGCGGGTCTGGTCCCATCTTTCTCACTCGGTTTCCTGGGCCGACAGCGCAGGCCACGCAGCGGCAGCTCGCAGTCCGGCCAGAGCAGCCTGCTCAGGGGTCAGTTCCCGCACGGTGGTCACGACTTAGAACAGGGTGCGGCCACTCGGCTCCCTTGTTTCCTGGTTACGGAGCCCGCTGCCGTCTGAGTGGGAAGGAAGCTCCCTCACCAGCACTCCAGGGAACGTGCTCGGGGCGCCCGAGTCACTCGTTCGGCTCGGACCCTCCTCTCAGAGGCCCATGTGGAGCGGGCATTCCGCTTGGAGGGAGCCGGGGCCTGGGAATTCGCGGAGGTTCATTTCTATGCCCCCAACCGAGGAAGCCATCAACTGACCAAACAACCTCACCCTCTTCTTCACTTTCCTTACAAGCTGCATGTGTGTATGAATAAATTAGCATCCATTTTCTCCAATTAACTGTTAATAAAACATGCTCACGTGCTCCCCCTCCTCCTCAGAACAACTGTTTTCCTGCCCAACCGAGACATGGCAAGGGCTTCCCCATTCTCCTTACCCCCCCCCACACACACACACCATGCACTGTCCCCCAACCCATCAGGCTGGTCCCCACAGCCACGCCCAGGGAACGCCCGCCCTTGGGGAAAGTGCGGGGGCCAGCACTGCCCGTCCCCCCCAGCACCGATGAGCCTGCACACACAGGCCCCTGCCCGGAGGCGGCGGGCTGTGGGCACACACCGGCTCCCAGGCACACACCGGCTCCCAGGCACACACCGGCTCCCAGCACACACAGGAGCCCTGCCCGGGGCTCCCCATGGACCTGTCACCAGCTTTGGCTTTTTCCGCTGTGGCCTCCCAGACACATCAATACGCAAAACAATAGGACTTAGGAGAGCGTAACTCGGAGTCCATTGACATAGCAGGATGCGCTGTTTCTTTACCCAGCAATTTAAGAAAAATTACTCCAAAGCCAAATAAAGGTTCATTACTGACACGAGTCCCTGAAAAATGAAGGTCTCTGGTAGCCTCTGCGAGACAGTGTCACAGAAATGAGAAAACGCAGACTCGGGACTGAGACACATCATCCACACAGACTGGGGTTCCCGTATGTGCCCCCACCCGTACCCCGAAAGCTGGCCCGTGACGGAGGGAGGCGGCCGCGTCCTGCCACCACAGGGACTCATTCGCCAACAGCCGGGCTCATTCTCCAAGGGCTTCCGGCGCGCTGCCGGGCGCGGCAGGTTCACTCACCACAAACGCCGGTCCCCAGAGCAGCGCTAACCTGCACCGGCCTCACACAGCGCCCGAGAGCTCCTGTGGGTTAACTGGCGCAGCCACCATTCGGGCCCGGAGCCTCCGGAGGGGCCTGTGCAGGAACAGCGGCATCCTAAGGATCTGTGAGGCTGCACGGAGGAATCTCCTTTGCATTTCAAACAAGTTTCCCCAAAATAGCCTTCTGATGAAATGAAATTCCGATCCCACCTCCTTCTCCGGAGAAAACAGCCCTCGTTGGGGAACCACTGCCGGTTCTCCAGCCCCCACACAGCGGTGACTGACCCCGTCTCCCGGCACCGTGTACGCCTCGCTCGGTAACCCGGCAGCACTGCCTGGCCTGGCTGGAAAGCTGGCATTATTGGAAAATACTGACTGACTGTTAGCGTTTTGGGACTTTCCGTTTGTTCTGATCTCAAGTTCTGAGGGGCTTCCAGCAGGATTCACCTGGTAAGAAACCCCCCTTTCTAACCGAACCCACAGCTCCCGTCCCCCAAACCCTCCCCTCCACACCAGACAGCTCACCCATCACAGACCCGAGGAGCTTCCCACAGAGGCCACCCCCAGCTCGTAGTGACTGCAGCCCAGCGCCCCACTGGTCACCGGAAAGCCCCATCTGTTAGGCTGGCGCTTTACAACAGCATATGCTTAACAGCTCAAAATCCCAAGAAAGTACTCCTACTATTATCATATTTGAAATCAAAGATTGTAATGTGAAAAGAAAACAAAGACAGATCTCCTCCATAAATTAAAAACTACATGTTTCTGGTCTAAGATCCCATATCTAGTCTGTAAAATCAACACTATTTTAAGTTTAAAAACATATTTTAATTTCTCAGTTTTTAAATGTTTAAAAATAAAGCTTTTCAAAAAATGTTATTTATGTTTATTTATGTAAATGTCTTCAGTTATCTTGTGCAAGGCAGGCAGTAATTTTATTTTATTTATTTTTAATATATTTTATTGATTTTTGTACAGAGAGGAAGGGAGAGAGATAGAGAGTTAGGAACATCAATGAGCCGGGACCGCTTTGGCTCAGTGGATAGAGCGTCGGCCTGCGGACTGAAAGGTCCCGGGTTCGATTCCGGACAAGGGCATGTATCTGTTTGCAGGCACATCCCCAGTAGCGGGTGTGCAAGAGGCAGCAATGAGAGTCATCGATCAGCTGCCACTTGCACAACCCCTACTGGGGATGTGCCCGCAACCAAGGTACATGCCCTTGACCAGAATCGAACCCGGGGCCCTTCAGTCCCCAAGCTGACGCTCTACCCATTGAGCCAAACCGGTCCCGGCCAGGCAGTAATTTTAATGGTTGATTAATACTGGTCTTAATCAAACCACCTTCCCTGCTCACACGTGTCAGAGTAACTTCCTCGGCCTCGGGGCTGAGGCCCCGGTCCTGACTGGGCCGGTCCTGTAAGGGAGCGGGGAGACCCCGGGCACAGAGGGACACGGCTCGAAGCAGAGCTCTCCATAACCGCCCAACCTCGCTGACCGTGTTTCTGAGGCGCATCCTGCTCCCTCCCTGAGCTGGACAGAACTGCGGGCCTCAGTCAGCGCCAGAGAACAGCCCGATCCACCTGCACGAGCTGCTGATGCGCAGAAGCAGGAAGCAGGAGGCCTGCCTGGGAACCCTGGGAAGACTCAGTAAGACAAGAGAACACGGAAAAGATAAGATACGTAACAGAGCATGGTGCAGGCCGGTACCTGTACCTTAGCCGTCTTTCTATTTGCTCACCTGCTTCCTATTTTCCCTCACAGCGGAGAGAGTGCCCCCAGCCACAAAATTCAGCCTCAATTATATTTCTGGTCAACCGATATAATCCCGAATTTTGTGTAACTATAAACGTGAAGGTTAGAGGTTTTCTCAGATATTACACAATTTTTTTTAAATAACCACCATCCAACCCAAAATAGTAGGCTCATGATGTTTCCTACTCGGATAGAACACTAATAAAGTTGTTTTGCTTATCATTCTGGCCCTGGAATAGTTTGGAAATCTTAACACAGAGCTATCTTCAATTCACTGTTCCCGGGGCACAAAAGTCAGGAATGCAGGCTTTCTGTAAATCCATTTACTGCTTTCAAGCTGTCAACTGGTCAGCAGGTACAGGAAAGTGTTTTAATCAAGAAGAAAAATATTTACATTTCAAACACAGAGAACATTTGGAGTTACGCTGGCTGGCTCAGGCTGTCGCCGCACGCCCGGGCCCTGTGTCCGCGCCATGTGCAGCCTGTGTACTCACTGAGCCGTCACGGCCTGCATCTCCTCCCGTTTGCTGCTGTGGCTTCTCTACCAGCTCTGCGCATGGCCAGCGGAAAACCTCACGTTTTTTGGAAAACCACTGCAGCCACAGTGTTTCCAGACCGGCCTCCAAAGCTGAACTTGGGTGTTGGCAACACTTCGAAAAGTTCAAATCCTGCCGGACAAAATCCAAACACTCTTATTAGGACTGAATTGCAGTTAGCAACAGCCGTGTGAACAGTGGACTTCAAACCCTTTCTAAAACTGCGATTCCACTCGGAATGTGACGGCATTCCCAGTTCTCCTGCCTGTAAGCAATGTGTCTTCACCCGGGACACTGACTTGAACAAGAAACAGACCAGACTGAAAACCACTGCAGAGGCGGCTTCTCAGGCACCCGTTCCTCCGCCTCCCGGGCCGGCCCGTCCCCTCGCACCCCTGTGCCGGCGCCACCTGCTCGCTCAGTTGTAAGAAAGACAAGTTCCTTGGACATTAAGTTAGAACATCTAGTATCTGCCAAATGTTTCAAGGAATCCTCAACAGATCAAATGACAGCACTAATGTTTACGTAACCAGGCTGTAAAGGAGAAATGCACGCTTCGTTTCAGTGGTTTGATAACATTTACGTTTCCAATAAAGAAGGAACCGTAAAGGCTGCGTAGCAAGCCCTCCCCTGAGCAAAGGAACCAGGCGCAGGTCCTGAGGCGTGAGAGGCTGCGTGGGGTGGGGGAGGGCAGGGCGGCTCCCATCCTCCAGACCACGCTCAGAAGAGGCTCTGGCGCCGTCTGCAGTCTGACGTCACTATTTCTCTCTCACTTCCTGTGGCAGCACTGCACTTATTGAATATATATGTGTTTTTCTTTTACAATGATTTCAGAGAGGAGGGAGAGGGAGAGAGAACATCAGTGATGAGATAGAAACGGATCGGCTGCTCCCGCACACCCCACACTGGGGATGGAGCCCACAACCCAGGTGTGCACCCTTGACTGGAATTGAACCCGGAATCCTTCAGTCTACAGGCTAACGCTTTATCCACTTAGCCACACCAGCCAGGGCTCATTTCGCTTACTAAAATTCCACATTTTGCTCTAAAACGGAACCTGAGTTAGGGACATGGCCAGGAGTTCTCAGCACGAGCCCGCAGCATTCTGCACAGCAGGCCTGCTCCTCATCACACACAGGCTGCCCGGCCCAGCGCCGCCCAGCACTCACCGGCGGCGGCCTCAGGAGGCGGAAGGCAGGCCTATGGACCCGGCCTGGGCGGTTCGAAAGGAACTGCGCCTCCCGTGGGAGGTAATCAAGTTAATGACATGAAATAAAGACCGCAAATCACAGGGGCTTCTTGCTTCCCGGGGCAACAGCCAAGAAGCCACCGGCTCAATGTCCAGCCTCACACACTGCAGGTTGCACATTGTGAACCTGCTGGAGCCCCTGTGCGCACAGGATGTGCTCAGTGTCCCCACCCCTCAACCCCACCCCTTACCCCTCCCCCTCCCCCCTCACCACCACCCCTCACCCCCACCCCTCACCCCTCACCCCTCAGCCCCACCCCTCACCCCTCAGCCCCACCCCTCACCCCCACCCCTCACCCCTCACCCCTCAGCCCCACCCCTCAACCCTCACCCCTCAGCCACACCCCTCAACCCCACCTCTTACCCCTCCCCCTCACCCCTCACCACCACCCCTCACCCCACCCCTCACCCCTCAGCCCCACCCCTCACCCCTCACCCCTCAGCCCCACCCTTCACCCCTCAACCCCATAAGCCACCTCTGAGCTAGGTGCACACTCCGCCCATAAGCACTTCCCTTAGCTTAGAACTGAGGTTCAAAACCTAACCGCAAAGCAGTGCCATCACTTAGGCTCCAACCTGAAAATCCCCATTCCTCTGAACCCTCACTCCTAAGCCGAGAGGATTCTAAGGAAAAAACAAGCCATGGCCAGAGGTGAACTCTCAGGGAACTTGTCCAGAAAGACCGTGCTCGACAGGAATGAACCAGCAGGCACGGAGTCGCAGAGAACACGCCAGGAACATGCCAAAGAGCGAAAACCATTGGTGAGCAGACAATCCCCTCAATTCTCACAAAAGCCCGCTCAGAAGACGGCGCCCATTATTCTTTGGCCCTGGGGCAGAGAGGAGCCCGTCCGGGCACCAGCCACCTGGAAAAGGCAGATTTCTACCACCGAGTCCGTGTGCAGTGTCTGCGATGTTAGCACGGTCCCACAAACACCTCCCTGGCCACTAGAAAGACACATGTATGAAATTAGCACGCATGCAAGGCTTCAGGAACACTGCTTCCGTCTGCGCGGCTGCTGGCAGCCAGGGTAAAGGCGGGAGCACAGAGCATGAGCTTTCTTTGTTTGCTTCCAAGTCAGAGATTATGCAGCTTAAAGAACGAACTCCATGTTTATGGGCTCATAAAGTTTAGTGCTTAACTGCAGGGATTTCTTGGAAATTTTCACAGGACTCTGGATCCCAACAGTATCACCTCTCTGCTCTTTGCATGTAAGTGAAAAGCATGACCAAGTTATGAACAGAGAAAAGCCGGCAATTCCCACGGACAGGAGGGGAAACGCGGCAGCTCCGGGGAAGCCGGGTGCAGGCCTTACTCCCGAGGAAACACTCCCACAGCCCGGCCAGTACCTTCCCGGAACTCGTTCCGCAGCTCCTCCGCGGTCCAGTTGCAGGAGGTGATCAGGAAGAAGCCTTCCGGTCGCAGCACCCTGGAGAGCGCGCTCACATACTGCCTCCTCTTCTCGGTGGCTCCGTCAGGACTCAGGCTTATGGCGTCCAAGGTCCCTTTGTCCACGCAGACCTGGAAGCCAGACAGCTCCTCGGGGAGATGCAGGAAGTCCTCCACCTGCACGAGGAACGGGCCGAGGTGAGAACCACCGCCACACCGTCTTCTCCGGCTTTCAAAGTGATCCGTAAAAGCATCATTCGTTCCCATGGCCTTTTACACATGAAAACATACTTCCAACTTCACAGTCACTTTTATGTGCTCCAAGATCACGAAAGCTAAGATTAGTGAGAGACGGTGTTTCCTGGACATTCCACAGCTATAAGACGTGGAAACAAATCAAAGTCAGGTGCGGTGCCCAGTCCGCCAGCTCGCACCAGAGCCCGCGGGGACTTCTGCTGAAAAGCGGAGTATCTGAGCTATTCCTAAAAATGACAACAATCCCGGGAGCTCAGACAGACCACTGGGAATAAGATGGTTTTCAGCGAAGATGACAGATTGTATTACCTGAAGTCAAAGGTAAATGCAAGTTCTTTTGCTTTGACTCAGCAGCTAACAGAGCAACGAAGGGACGTAATGACCAGCATGAAGCTTACGAAGTTCAATGGCTGTTTCCACCGCAATCACTTAACTTCATAAACGCCACTCACTTTAGAATCCGACTCCCCGGCACCGCCTTCGTTTCAATAACCGATGGCATTATAGGCACTTGAAACAGTGAGCTGCCCCATTTCATAAATTATTCAAAGTAATCTGCCAATAGCGTTGGTGGTATAGTGGTGAGCAGAGCTGCCTTCCAAAGTAATCTGCCAATAAACTTAATTCTGAAAAGCTACTTTGAAAAAGTAACCACACGATTAGCTGATTATTCACAGAAGCTAACTAGCCATAATGTATTACCCAAAGCGCCCTTGGTGTCTGCCTTGAAAATGAGCCCTTATGTGTGTATCATGGATTTCCTCTCCCTCCCGCCCCAGTAGTCACTGTACCAGAAGCACTAATGGCTACAGCTCCTAAGAGCTAAGTTTGGAGAATTCGCTATCCTAAATGCCTGTATGAAAGTACACATTTATTCAACAAATATTTCATAGACATCCATTAAGTGCAGGAGTTTTTCAGGCCCTGGGAATGTACCCGCAAACCGGAGAGAAAAGCTCACTCATGAGAACACACTGTCTGTTCTCTCACGGGGAGAGTGGCTGAGGGGCGAGAACTGCTCTGGAAGGGGGTCAGGAAAGGCCTAAGTCTGGGGCAACCTCCGAGCCGAGACGCAGGAGGAGGAGGAGCCGCACAAGCTCATATCCGGGCAAAAGGACTGTGGGCAGAGAGCAGCGGGGATGGCGCCTGGAGGACAGGCCTGACATGTTTGAGAAGCAGAGCTGTGACTCAGCCCTGGGATGAGGAGGGAAAGAGGAATCCAGGAAGACTCTTTGGGTTTGGGTTAGTGCACCTGGAAAATAAATGATGGTATCTTTAGAAATGGGAAGGGACTTGGGGGGGAGCAGGTGCAGGTTTAAGTATCATTTTGGACTAATTGAGAGCTTATTAGCTATCCAGGTGGAACTGTAAAAAAGCAGCTTTTACAAAATGCTAGAGCTCAGAGAAGATGCCTAAGCTAGAAATATAAATGCCAGACACATCATCTCCTCAGAGATCACAGAAATAACCCAAGTATTCTTTGGTGGCATTATCCCGCTTTATACATTTCCAACTTTCTGATCTAGTTAACTCAAACTCAGGTATTACCTGTGTGTCTGCAGACACAAGGAAGTGGGGAGGGATGCGCACACTTGCACACGAGGAGGAAAATGACTTCCCCTAGCTGACGAGACTAAGAAGTTTAATACGGTTCTTAACATTATTTCATTTTGGATTGTCTGATTGACATACATTAGAAACATTTAAATTTTATAACTTTTATTAGAAATAAAAATAACATAGTAATGTAAGTAATACCTTCAACGTAATGTTAGATAACCCTTCTTTCTCTATAATACTTCTGGAAAGCTGTATCGCAGAAGGTGAGTAATCAATGCCAGTAATGTTAGAGAAACCGAGCTTTGCCTAAAGACAAAGAAGCAATTTTATACTTTAGTTTTAAAATGTTTTAATATCCTGTTTTGCCTATGAATTATATTAATAATATCCCTTTAGGACTGGGACTGTCATTCACTTTGAATAGATCAAGTAATGTATACAATCCAATAATCTATAATGCTTAAATTTTATGTAGAATCAAAACAGAAACTGGAAATTTAAATCTACAGAATGTGACAAATCCTTTGCTTTTATAGTTTATTTCTTTTTTCAAAAGGACATTCAATTTCTCAAAGCCAATGAGAATATTTGTATGTACATTTCTGCCCTCAAGCAGAAAAGTATAGTGTTAACTTCTGATGCTAACATGCTCTGGTTCACACACATAAATCGAGCATAAATTTTACTTAATACAATTAAACCATATGACTACATTTACTGCATATGAAATAAGTCCTTGATTTAAAAGCCCCTTTAGCCCAGCCAGTATGGCTCAGTGGTTGGGCACATGCCCAGGTGGGCTTGATCCCCCGGTATGGGGCGTGCAGAAGGCAGCTGACCAATGATTCTCATCATTGATGTTTCTCCCGCCCCCCTTCTTCTCTGAAATCAATAAAAATATATTAAATAAATAAATGGTAGAGATTGTAAGAATGGGTTGAAAAACATGACCTGACTAAGTGCCAGCTATAAGAAACTGACGAGTGGCTACCTGGGGGGAAGGGTGTGCCCATGCAGATGGCAGAAGAGAGGTTCCTGGGAGGAGCTACTCTGTATCCTGTGATGATTACATGAATCTCTACATGTGTTAAAATTCACAAAACTGTAATAAAGAGAGTCAATTTTGCAATACATTAATTTTTTAAATTTAAAAAAATTATGAGCAAATTTATGCTCATAATAGGACTCGGATCCTGTAGCTTTTCATTTAGTTCCTTCACCCCGTCCAGGCGGCCTCCCTTTAATACCCTGTGACTTCTCAAAGCAGGTGGTATGCTTGCTTTACCACTTTAATTTAAATGGCTAGTATCCTCCATTGCAAGTTTTCTAATTTTCACTTTAAAACTGGGCTGTAACACAAATAATAAAAGTACCAACAAGTTCAACCAGGAGAGCACCATTTCCGGTTCCAATATCAAGCACCGAAGCATCCATTGGGATCTTGTGTTTTTGCATCCACCTTATGAGTCGATTCATACTCTCCTCTCCAAACCTATCAGAAACAGAGAGTTGGTTAATCAAACAACAGAGGGTGCGGAAATCAGTTTGGCTCAGTGGACAGAGGTCAGCCTGCGGACTGAAGGGTCCCAGGTTCGATTCCGGTCAAGGGCATGTACCTTGGTTACGGGCACATCCCCAATGGGGGGTGTGCAAGAGGCAGCTGATTGATGATTCTCTCTCATCGATGTTTCTAACTCTCTATCCCTCTCTCTTCCTCTCTGTAAAAAAAATCAATAAAATATATCTTTTTTAAAAAGCTAACATTTAAAAATATATATATATAGCCGAGACCGGTTTGGCTCAATGGATAAAGCGTCGGCTTGGGGACTGAAGGGTTCCAGGTTCGATTCCGGTCAAGGGCATGTACCTTGGTTGCGGGCATATCCCCAGTAGGGGGTGTGCAAGAGGCAGCTGATCGATGACTCTCTCTCATCAATGTTTCTAACTCTCTATCTCTTTCTCTTCCTCTCTGTACAAAATCAATAAAATATATTTAAAAAATATATATATACATATATATATATTTTTTTTTATTTTTTTTTTTATTTTTTTTTTTTAAAGAAGGATATACAGCCAAGTTACAACGATAATCCATTGAAGCAGATCAGCCATATACTCCATTAAGCCATTTTGGAAAGTAAAGGGTATTAACTGTGACTGCTTAAGCTTCATCTTTACTATTATTTAGAAAAGACACACCAAAGAATAAACAGAATACATAAGGTTGGTATATTACTTATTAATGTTTCTCTCCATCAGCATTGACAATTGTATGTATTGATGGCTCAACATTTTATTGCTTATTTTAAAAGGATAATTGTAGGAAGAGAGTAATTTCCTAATACTATCATCAAGTTTAAATCCGGGTCATTAAAAGACAGAGGTTCTTTAAATCCAACAACTAAAGCCAGAATTGGTTCAAGGTTGCCAAGATTTTCAGCCTATCTTCTTTGGGATACAACTTAAAACATAAAGACAGACACACACACACACACAATCTTCCGGATTCCACTGTTTTCTGTAACTCACCAGACTTCTCCCGTGTCTCCATATTCTTGGAAAGTGTGCAGTTCTCGCGCATACACAGCATCCCAACTACAGGAATAATCAAATGCAAAGCAAGGTTCTTCAGTTAAACGGAATTAAACGTATATTTCTAATAGATGACAGAGGTTTATGCCCCATCTGTGTGGCTCAACCCATCCGATTCCAGGTCAGGGTATGTGCCCGGAGTTACAGGTTCGATCCCCAGTAGGGGGCGTGTAGGAGGCAGCTGATCCATGATTCTCTCTCATCATTTAAAAAATATATATATTTTATTGATTTTTCAGAGAAGAGAGAGGGATAGAGAGTTAGAAACATCAATCAGCTGCCTCCTGCACACCCCCCACCGGGGATGTGCCTGCAACCAATGTACATGCCCTTGACCGGAATCGAACCTGGGACCCTTCAGTATGCTGGCCTATGCTCTAGCCACTGAACCACACCAATTTCGGCTCTCTCATCATTGATGTTTCTATCTCTTTTCCATCTCCCTTCTTCTCTGAACTCAACAAAAATATATTTTTAAATAAACTAATACTTATTTTTAATAATTAAAATACATTCGTGTTATCAATGAGTTCACAATAACTCAAATCTCAACATCTCAGTGTTTGAAAAATGAAAGATAGACCGACTAGCATCACAAGCTTACACAGGTAAAGCACTTAGGTCTTAGAACAACATGTGACACACGAAAAGGCTGTGTTAGCTTTAAAAAACACACACAAGTATTTGTTCGAGGATCCCTTAGTCCCAAACACAAGTCCAAACTTCCCGTTTAAAATGTGGGGAAACAGGGATTTTTCTACCAAGACAATGGAACTCACCCAAGACAAGCTCAGCTCGCAGGATGCGTTAAGATTTACTCTCACCTTTTCAGTCCAGTCCTCGCTCCCCTACGTCACCCCCTCTTCTTCCTACTGCCCCCCCTGGCACCCCTCTCCCTTCTCACCCCCCCCCCCCCAGTCCCCTGTCCTCCTCACCGGCCCCTCCACCACCCAACCCTCCACCACCGATTCCTATGCTCACGGCCTCCGCTCCAGGCAGGTCCCTCTCCCCCCCCCCCGGGTCATTCGCGGGGAACCCCGCTCCTCCCTCGGAGCTCAATCCCGCCGGGTCCGCCCGGCTGCCCCCGCCCCTGGGCGCCCCCAGGGTCCGGACCTAAAGGCCTTCCCAGGAGCGGGGCGCCGGACCCCAAACCCCCGAGCCCACCGCAGGTCAACCCCCTCCAGTCCCCCCATCGCCCCAGGAGGCCCGGCGGGTCCCCGCGGCTCCCCAGCTTCCGAGCCCCCGGCCGCCAGCCCTGCGTCCCCCACCCGGGGGCGCCGCACTCACTGCTCCCGGGTCCCCAGCGCCGACGGGGCGAAGCCGCCCGCCCCGGGACTGGCCTCCCGGGCCCGCGCCGCCGGCGCCGCGCCGCCGCCCGCGCTCATCCCTCTCCGCGCCGGGAGCCGAGCGGCCGCCATAGAGACGGCGCGGGGCAGAGCGGCGCGCGGAGGGCGCCTCTAGGCGGCGGGAGGCCGCCCTCTCTACTGCTCCCGGCCGCCTGACCTCCCGGCCCCGCCTTCCTCCCAAGTCTGGGTCCCGAACCCCGGCCGGGGCGGGCCTGGACCCCGCCTCCCTCCCCGGCCCTCACCCGACGAGGGATGCACCCCTCCTTCTTGGAGTTGCTCGCCGAGGCCACCAGATTTGGGAGCTGCTGTTTGTAAGGTCTGGCGGTGGGTAAGCCACGCCAAAAACCCAAATGCACAAATCACGTGGTGGGCAGATCTGGGAACTTTTTTAAAAATATATTTTTATCGCTTTTAGAGAAAAAGGGAGAAGGAGAGAGGGAGAGAGAGAGAGAGACATCATTGATGAGACAGAATCACTGATCGGCTGCCTCTTGCACACCCCACACTGGGGGTGGAGTCCGCGACCCAGGCCTGTGCCCTGACCGGAGTGGAACCGTGAGCTCCCGGGTCACAGGTCCTCCCTCAACCACTGAACTACCGGGCTGGGCAGATCTGGGAATCTTTATTTGGCTTTCGGCTACTTTTATTTGTGGCTGGGATTCTGCCTTAAAAATAACATTCTGGTAAGAAGAAGAAAAAAGTAAAGATAAAAATTATGAACAACAAATACATATCTATCAACAAGTGAACCTAAAAATCAAGTGAATTAAAAATCTGAGGAACAGAATAAATTGGTGAATATAATAGAATCAGGAGCATAGAAAGGGAGTGGACTGATAATTCTCAAGAGAAATGGGGTATGGGGGTGCAGGAAGAGACTGGGCAAAAATCGTACACCTATGGATGAGGACAGTGCAGGGGAGGTAAGGGCAGAGGGTGGGGTGGGAGTTAGGTGGAGGGGAGCTATGGGGGAGAAAAGAGAAACAATTGTAATAATCTGAACAATAAAGATTTATTAATTTTTTTTAAAAAAATAGCATTCTGGTCTCTTCTAACGGAAGTCAATAGGAGGACATGGGAATTTATGCCCAAAGTAAGGAATGCCCTAGGACCCCACCCCCAAATACGCCCATCAAGGGGATCAGAGTGATGTGGAGGAAAGAGCGCTAAGTGAGAGATAAGATGCCCGCCTGGCTGTCTCAACGCTGCCCCTCCCAGGGCCCCTGGACACACGCAGACCCCTCACCTCCGTGTGTCTCCGTGTCCTCGCCTGTACCTCGCTCTAAATGGATGGTGTCCGTTCCACCAGATTGCTCCCAGCCAGTGAACTTGAAATTCCTCGGTCTCTTGGTCTAGTTGTGCAGTATAATGCGGAGAGGGCTTACCCACCAAAGCCTGGGGGTGTCTGTACTGCGATGAAATGCTGGCAGGTTCTTGTCCCAGGCAAGGATCTCAAAGGCCCCTGGCAGGGCTGCTTCCCACGAGAGGAATGGGTCCTCGGCCACGTTTCCGTTGACTCTGCAGACCCAGGCCTCCGAGGTTAACAACCTCAACAGTTGCCTTTCCAGCCAGAAACCCCAGTTAGGACCGAAAGTGCCTCTTCTCCTCACAAGGCGTCCCCATGGGCAGCCACCAGGGATAGAGTCCGGGGACGGGGGAGGGAGGCCATGCGTGCGGTGATTAAAGAACCCTCCGAAGAGGAAAGAGGCCTCATTACGGAGGAATCAAACCCCCAGACGCCACGGCCAATTAGTGCTGCCGGCGAAGGGCTGTTTTCCTCTTCTCTAGACCCCGATGCCGGAGAAAGCAGGCTTAATGTGGCTGAGAGGGTCTTAGGAAGTTCTGGGTTATAATTAATGAGCCATGAAAGATAAGGCCGTCTTGTCTGCAATCTGATGTCCTCCTCGCACTGAAGTGGTTACTGCTGTGTGTGATGAATGCTCTAGGCTTCTGGTATGCAGCCCTGGAAAAACCCTGTTTATGCAGAGTCCCTCCTCTGGCTCCAGGATTACCCCAGCTGTTTAGTCCTGGAGGCTGGGAGGACACCACCTCTGCCCGCCCAGGGCAACGGGATTCGTGGCGGGAGGTGGAGAAGCTTAGTCCCAGCAGGCTGCCCATCACCAGGGAGAAGCTGGAATGGCGAAGGGACACAGTGCCTCCCACCGGGGCCTGTTCCATGGGGCAGGAGGGCGGCTCTGAGAGTACCTGGGTGGCCTGTCTCTCTCTCCCTCCTCCTGCAGCAGGGTGCCCTGCTGGCTCACAGCAGCTCTGATACTGGGCTCCCAACAATTCTCAACAGCTTCCTCGTTCACAAGGCAAGGGCCCTTTCTCTCTCTCTCTCTCTCTCTCTCTCTCTTTCTCTCTCTCTCTCTCTCTTCTGCACGCCCTATTGGGAATCAAGCCCATGACCCCGGCATGTGCCCTGACCAGGAATCGAACCGTGACCTCCTGGTTCATAGATCGACGCTCAACCCCTGAGCCACATCAGCTGGCCAGGCTTTACCTCTCTTGATTGACCCTATAGGGGTTAACAAAGCTTAGCACGTCCCGTTTCAAAGCCCCTCCTTCCCCCCAGCACTACCTGCTCTTAAGTGAACCTTGTAAAAAGGGCAGCTCCAACCGAAACCGTGTGGCTCAGTGGACAGAGCGGCAGCCTGCGGACTGAAACGTCCCAGGTTCGATTCCGGTCAAGGGCATGTACCTTGGTTGTGGCACATCCCCAGTAAGGGGTGTGCAGGAGGCAGCTGGTCGATGTTTCTCTCTCATCCATGTTTCTAGCTCTCCCTTCTTCTCTGTAAAAAATCAATAACATATATATATTTTTTCTTTTTTTTTTTAAATCAATCTTTATTGTTCATATTATTACAAAGGTTCCTCATTTCTTCCCCCCTCCACCAGGTTCCCACCCCACCCTCCGCCTCTTCCCAATCCCCCATTGTCCTCTTCCATAGGTGCACAGTTTATGTTCAGTCTCTTCCTCCCTCCATTTCCCCAATAGTAAATCCCTTTTCAGATAGTAAATCAGTTACTTAGCATTTTCTCATATCAATAATACCTCCACATGCCCAATGATACACTTCACACAAAAGACATTTCCAAATAGGTCAACCAGCCTCATCCAGGCCCCACCCAAGGCACTCACAGATCAATAACATATATTTTTAAAAAGGGCAGCTCCAGTTGGACTCCCAGGATTTGGGCCTTCACCTTATCCTGTGTGAGTGTGGGGAAGCTTCTTAACTTCTCAGGCCTCAGTTTGCCCATCCTATAACCAGGGTAATAATGTTGCCCATGGCTAGGGCAGCTATAGAGATTAAAGGAAACAATTTCTGTAAAGTCCTACATGCCTGATGTATAAATACTCAACAAGTGCTACCTCAGTGCTCGCTTTGGAAGCACACATGCTAAACTTGGAACGACGCAGAGGTTAGCATGGCCCCTGTGCAAGGGTGACATGCAAATTCGTGAAGCGTTCTATATTTTTAAACTAAAAAAAAAAAAATAATAAATGCTACCTCAGTTTCTTCAGCCATAATTGTAGTTTAAAATGGGTCTCCTTCAGTGGCTCAGAGGTTGAGCATGGACCCTTGAACCAAGAGGTCACCGGTCTAATTTCTGGTCAGGGCACATGCCAGGGTTGCAGGTTCGATCCCCAGTAGGGGGCGTGCAGGAGGCAGCTGCTCTCATCAATGTTTCTATCTATCCCTTCCTGTTTCTATCTGATAAAAAAATAAAAAAATCAATAAAAACATATTAAAAAAATTTTAAATCCTCCTGTAGAGGATTGTTAGCAGGATTAAATAAGTCTGTACAATGTAAAGAGCTTAGAACAGAGCCTGGCATACAATCAGTGTTCAGTAACAGTTAGCCATCCTATTAGTAACTCCCATCCCCTGCCCTCAGCTACAGATTTCTACTGCAGTTGCCTAGATGCCTCTTGTTACATTCAGCTCAACCTGCTGAAAACTGAACTGTCTTGCACAGCTTTCCCCCATGACCCTATCCCTCCATCCCTCTTTTCCCTCTGCTCTCCACCCCCCTGGTCCCAGGCCATCCTCCCATCATTCTGTGCTCCCCTCCCCCTCCCCACACAGCTCCTCCTGGTCTCTTGGCTCAGGGACCTTTTTCAATCCTGTCACCACCGCGCTGTGTTCTTCGGGCCGCTCAGGCTCGCAGCTCGCGGGAGCCGGTTGTTTGGACACATTTTGAAGAATGCTGACTGGCCCAAGTGGGGTGTCAGGAATGATTCCAAGGCTTTCCTGCCCAGTTTTCAGAAAACAGTCCTGTTTGCTTGGAAAGAGAGTGGTGAGTTTTGTGGGAGATCACGAGCCTCATTTCGAACGAAAAAGATGGAACACATGGAAGAATAATGATTAGAAAGGTGAACTCTTCCCTGAGTTTCTTTCCTTAACTCTGTTATAGTTTATTTTCACTTCTATTTGTTATTTATGTTGCTTTTATCCTCTTTCTGTTATATTTCATTACATTTGTGTACCCTTGTATCCAGAATCCAATGCTTCTTACCACCTCCCTGGCTACCACCATTTCACTTCCAACCACCGCCCAACCACCGCCATCCCGGCTCTTGGATTACCGTAATACCTCCTTCTCCCTCCCCTGGCACTATATTATTTTTTAAAAATATATTTTATTTCATTTTATTTTATTTTATTTTATTTCATTTTATTTTATTTTATTATTTTGTTTTATTTTATTTTATTTTATTTTATTTTATTTTATTATTTTATTTTATTTTATTTTATTTTATTATTTTATTTTATTTTATTTTATTTTATTATTTTATTTTATTTTATTATTTTATTTTATTTTATTTTATTTTATTTTATTTTTTTCAGAGAGAAAGGAAGAGGGTGAGTTAGAAACATCAATCAGCTGCCTCCTGCACACCCCCACTGGGGATGTGCCCACAACCAAGGTACATGCCCTTGATCAGAATCGAACCTGGGACCCTGAGTCTGCACGCCAATGCTCTATGCACTGTCCCAAACGGGCCAGAGCTGGCACTATATCCTTGTCATGGCAGCCAGAATGGTCATATGGAAATTGAAATCGCATCATGTTAATTCTATATCAAACCCCAAACCAGGCAACTGCTTGAATCACCTCCTTGCATTCATCATTGAGCATGACAGATGTTGGACTTGAACACTAATCATTTTTCTTAAAAACATTTTTTAAAACCGTTTGCGCAACTATCAAGGGCTATGCAGAAGAGGCGATGTCTGGGGAGTGCCGGGCGCGAGACCCACGGGTGTTCACGGTGCGGGGGCGTCGCTCGGACCCCGAAAACTTGCACTCGTCACCCCTCCGGCCTGGGCGCCCCGCCCCGGCTTCCGGCCTCATCTGCGAAGAAGACTTCATTTCCCAGGATGCCCCGGGGCGGGGCTGGCCGGAAGGCCGCGTGCCCTCCGCGGGGCATGATGGGGGAATCGGAGATTTCCATCATGGCGGCTTCCATTTCGGGCTACACCTTCAGCGCCGTGTGTTTCCACAGCGCCAACAGCAACGCCGACCACGTAGGTGCCGGGCCCCCTGCCCCGGCCGCTGGGGCCGAGCCGGAGCCCCCTGCGGCGCGGCCCCCAGGCTCCCGGGCCGGCCCTGCTCCCGCCCCTGGCGAGTCCCGCTGCCCGGGCTCCTTTGCCCCCGGGCCGGGCCTCCCGGCTCGGGGCCTTCGGCCTTCGGCCGGCCCGAGACAGCGGTCCCCGGGGCGGCGGACCCGCCCGGCCGGCCCGAGACAGCGGTCCCCGGGGCGGCGGACCCGCCCGGCCGGCCCGAGACGGCGGTCCCCGGGGCGGCGGACCCGCCCGGCCGGCCCGAGACAGCGGTCCCCGGGGCGGCGGACCCGCCCGGCCGCCTGAGACAGCGGTCCCCGGGGCGGCGGACCCGCCCGGCCGGCCCGAGACAGCGGTCCCCGGGGCGGCGGACCCGCCCGGCCGGCCCGAGACAGCGGTCCCCGGGGCGGCGGACCCGCCCGGCCGGCCCGAGACAGCGGTCCCCGGGGCGGCGGACCCGCCCGGCCGGCCCGAGACAGCGGTCCCCGGGGCGGCGGAGCCCGGCCGCCGGCGGGTCGGGGTCGCTCCGGGGAAGCCGAGCGTCTGCCCCTCCCTGGGTGTCCGGCCTCGGGACCTGCGAAGGGCCCCGTGGGGGGTCACGGGGGCGACCGGGGAGGCCGCGGCTGTCACTCCGCACACCTGTTCGAGGAGACGGGGCGCTCCCTCCTCCCTGGGACCGGGGCAGGCCTGCGGCAGGCTTCGGCGTGGGGGCTCCTCGCCTGGAAGTTGCGAGCTGAGTTCCCGGCAGAGGATCCGGGGCCGCGGAACTGAGTGGCGGGGAAATGGGGAAGTGACAGGCCCGCGCCGGAGCGAGCGGGGCCCGGCTGCTCCAGCGTCTGTCTTCATCGCACGGGTTGTCTTGTCGCGTCCCTGACCTCTGAACGGAAATTCTTGGTGGAACTAGATAATGTTTATCTTTAAGGCCGTGTTTCGTTTGCCCACCCCATTGGGGGATTATCTGAAAAGATGCCAAGCGTGCATTATTCGAAGTCAGTAAAGTGTGTGTGTGTGGGGGGGTTGTGCTTGTCATTACAAAGCAAAATGAGACACTGCAGAAGGAACTGGATTTGGTTGGATGTCAGCCGTCTCAGCTTCCATTAATAACTTCTAGAGAGGCGATCCCATTAGTAAATTGGATGGCATTAAATAAATGTGCCTTTCTCCTCTCCACTGCGGATGGTAGAGAGATTAATGATAAGAATACACACAACGTGGGTCCAGAGGCCGCTCGTGTGTCCCTGACACGAAGGCTTTTTTTACTGCAGCCAGCTATTTAATAATGTAATGCAGCCCCAAATATAGTGGTTTGTTACACTCCCGGTGTCCGTGGGAGTGTTACATACGTTTAAATGGACTCTGATTTGTGGAGGGCCTCGTAATATCACCGTTTACGTGTAGGACATAAGATTGTTGTAAGAATCAGCAGCTACCTGTTGAAAAGTGGGTACATTTTTCTACAAACGCAGTGAGATGGCCACGTTACTCAGATTGTTACTAATTTAATGCAAGAGACATCTCTTTAATATCTATTGTACACGTTAATATCTACAGGTCTGGTGGCTAGACTTCTCAGAAATTATCACCAATGACAGTATTATAGGTTCAATTCCCGTCAAGGGCATGTACCTTGGATGTGGGCACATCCTCAGTAGCTGATCGATATTTCTCTCTCATCGATGTTTCTAATGCTCTATCTCTCTCCCCTCTATGTAAAAAATCAATAAAATATGTATTTTTTTTTAAAAGAAAGAAAGCAAGCTTTTATCCCCCTTATGCACTCCACTCACCCACCTGCACCCACTTCCAACACTGGTGCTGCTACTTGATAGGATTCAGGTGATGAGTTCACTCTACTCGTTTTTACTTCAGAGACACAGGGAAGACTTGAAGGGATTGAAGTATATTTCGCCCTGAATGGAGTCCTTTTTTTCAACAATATAGCTAATGGGTATATCTCATATTGGTCTAGTCAGATTGCTCTAGTCTTGTTGGTCTATAGAATAGTAGTTCACCAGCCAACCTTGTTTGGATTATTGTTAAAAAATTATTATGTCCTAAATTTCTCTTAATTCCAGTAAAAACCATCTTTATGTGCAACTCTTTTCTTTCTTGCATTTAGGAAGGATTTTTGCTGGGAGAGGTGAGACAAGAGGAAACCTTTAGCATCAGTGACTCCCAAATCAGCAACACAGAGTTCCTGCAAGTCATTGGTGAGTTATACTGACCGCAGAAATACTCCCTGTATATTTTGTTAGTTAGTTTGTTCTTTGGCCCTTAAAAGGTTAGAAAAGTCATAGATAACCACTCACATTACAATGCCAATTACTCGCACTAATAAGTGACGTGAACTGTTTTTAGAGGTCAGTGTAAGAATACAGTGCCTAGCTGTAGCTGTAGCTGTAGGCTTTCTATAACGCTATCCGTTACCCACTGACTGATCTGACTTTGACTGGATTCTGTGTTGTACCACTGAGAACCTCAGTGGTACAATATATATATATATATATATATATATATTTTAATATATTTTATTGATTTTGTACAGAGAGGAAGGGAAAGAGATAGAGAGTTAGAAACATCGATGAGAGAGAGTCATCAATCAGCTGCCTCTTGCACACCCCCTACTGGGGATATGCCCGCAACCAAGGTGTCCCCATTGCCGTAACCGCCCCCTGAAATAAAGGTTGTGTTGTGTGGGCCTTTCTGAGGGGTCTGGCACGTTGTTCGCACTTATTTAGCGAATTGTACAGCCTTTGTCAGTTTGGGAGATTTTGGGGAAGCCTGAGTATTTATAGATGCACTGACTCATAGTTTTTTAGCTGCATGTCAGTGTCATCAAACAGCATATCCTGACACTCAGAGAAAAGGCATTTTATTCAGTTGTGCAGCCAATATTTATCGAAGCATAAGGCGTGTGCGGGCAGTGTGAGCAGCATCTAGATGCATTTCTGCCCCCTGGGAGTGTGGGAGGATGAAGCAAGTCACAGAAGTGCCAGCAGTGCAAGATGAATGCTGGGAGAAAGGAGCCAAGACAATCCCATAGATTAGAGGGGAAACTATTGGTGGGTGAAATCAGGGAAGACTTCCTGAAGGAGGTGAGCTCAGGGCTTGGGTGGTGCATTCAGAGGAACACAGAAAGGAGTGTCTAAAACACATAGGAGTCCTGGCCTGTGTCTGTGGCCAAAATGCAGTGTGTGTGCAGGTGAGAGGTTTGAAATTCTGCTGGAAGGTCAGCTCTTACTGGGGCCAGTCACCAATTTCAAGCCTGTTCTGACAGCCTAGTATAGGGGTGTCGAACTCAATCAGAGAAGGGTCCAAAATCTAAAATCCAGCCTAAATCGCAGGCCGAATGGTTTACTGAACAGTCATAAACTGTCATTGTGATGGAAACGCAGCGGAGTGCAGTGATGACAGCGCGGTGCGGGCCACATTGCAAGGCCTGGTGGGACGGATTTGGCCCTCGGGCCTTGTGTTTGACACATGTGGCCTAGTACATGGATGGGGGGCCAGGGTGAGGATTGACTTAGGATGGGTTTGGGGGAAGAGGCTGAACTCTATCCTTTGGACCAAAACTATAAGACCCCCTCCACAGCATCGACCGCAAAATAAAGACGGGCTGTGTCCGGGCATAGCTGCTCTGTCATTGAGGTGTTGTCTTTGTTCGTTTTGCTTAGTTTTTTAAAAACCTGAGGTGGAGAATTTGGTTTCATTGGACATCTGTGGAATTATTTATTGTTTGCACCTGAATTTCAAAATTAATTTGATAGATGAAGGTTAAGATGCCAGATTTAGTTTACCATATAAAAAAGAGCTCTCTTACCCAGCATGATGACAAAAATAGCATTTCTGATTAATATTCTAGCTGTCTATATTTACCTACTTATTTAAATAAGTAGATATATATTTCCTGGGCTATTTTATATGATTAGCTAAGATGTGTTTTCTTTTTCTGATTACAGAAATCCATAACCATCAGCCTTGTTCAAAGCTTTTTAGGTAAGCCACACTCTTCTCTGTAGCGTTTAGCTCTTTCTGAAAGACACGCTTCAAAGTAGTGGATCTATGCCTGTTGCTGATAATGGCTCGGAAGTCCCAAGTGTGACTGAGGACACCCAGGTCCTCTTCCCTCTGAGTGCCAGCGGGTGCGCTGGCAGGTCCGGGAGGGAGAGGCGGCCATCTTGCTTACCGCCCGCCGTGCGCCAGGTGCAGGTCCCGGCCGCAGGGGCTCAGTGAAGGCTTCCCCGGGAAGGAGCTCTTCGGGATCACGCAGGGACCGTGATGTGAAGGCGTTTTTAAAAGAGGAAGGAAAGAGCTCAGTAGCAGAGAAAACAAAAAACTTCCTTTTGGTGTTTACTTAAGTTAATATCCACCGGTTGCATATTACAATCAACTGAAAGACAGAGAAAACATGGGAGGAGAGAGTAGCAAATGACAGAAGAGAGATAGCAAATGACAGAAACACAGGGAAGGGGAGGGGGAGGGAGAAGAAGGCCGGTATTTCCACCCCCAGGCCTCCGCCTCCCTCCTGAGCCCCAGACCCTCCTGAGGTGGTCTGAGGAGGATGTCTCTGTTTCTTAAAATCCCCCAGGCCTGTTCTCCTGCCTTCCGGAAGCGGGCATGCTGCTCCCACTATTCAGTTCAGGCTTCCTGGTCAGCACTTCCTTCTTTTAAAGAAATATATATATACATATACATATACATGTACATGTACATATACATATACTGATTTCAGAGAGGAAGGGGGTGGGAGAGAGAGAAGCATCAATGAGGAGAGAGTATCTGCTGAGCCAACCTGCCAGGGCAGCACTTCCTTCTTTAAACACCTGCCAGCTCTTCACACTGCTGTCCTGCTGCGTGTTCCCTGCAGCCTCCCCAACCCGCTCTTATTCTCAGCTGGCAGGCGCCGGCCCCCTCTACCCCGAGCCCCTGGGGACTTGTATTGGTCGCACACAGACACACACACACACACACACACACACACACAACCACACACCCCTACCCTCGTTATTTCAGAGCTCTGACTTCATGTACGGTGCCTGAGGACGAGGTCTGAAGGAGCCAAGTTGCTCCTCTGCTCTGGATTTACACAGAAGCGAGAGGAGTGGGCAGCAAGGTGCGCAGCCAGCAGTGCCTTTGAGAAGAATCTCAGAGCAGACAAGCTGTCGAGGCCAGGCCCACGCAGTGCCTGTGTCTGGTCCGTGAAAGCGCCCGTGTGGCCCTCACTCTCTAGAGCTGTGCTAGGCGGCCCGGCCTCGCCCTTCTGAGGAGTTCCTCTAAGCATCGGCGGCAGAGGCACCCCAGACAGAATGGAACTCAACTCCGGTCATAGACTCAAAGTGCTTAGCGCTGAAAGCAACCTTAGACATCACCCGTCTGCCCCATACTGCTTTGCCAAAAGGGGATGGGGCAGATAGGGTTAGGGACGCGCTCAAGGTCACTCAGGGAGAAGCAGGACTGTGCCCGAGCGGAGGCTCCTGACTCCCAGTTCGGTGTTCTCACGGCACCTTGAACTCCTCTGTGCCTTATAAGGCCTGGGCTTGTGCGGGAGGAGGGGGAAGGGCGGCATTCCTAAACCCCGACCTGGTAGGAGAGCCACAAATCACGGGCACTGCGCAGCAGAGGGCCCTGGTCCGGTGGGTCTGTGTTGGGGTGGGTGCATTCAGTTTGAAGCTAGCCAGACCTGGCTTCAAATCCCAGTTCTTCCAGCTCCTAGCCTGTGGTTTGGGCAAGCCACTTATCTTCTGTGTCTGTAGCCAGGAAAATGGAAATCAAACTTGACTTGTCGGGCTGAACTAACACCTCCATCACGGAGGAAGAACGGAATAAAATAGCCTGCGGAGGGGTTTCTGGTGAAGCATTAACCAGTGCGCACTTCCCTTCCTCCTTCCTCAGAGAAGCTGCATTCTTCTGTTTCCATAAGTAACTGATGCTTAGACACAGGGAAAGCTGCCCGGCCCACGTGTTTATACTTAGCTGCTGTCAGCACCTCCCGCAGGGAAAGTGTCCTTTGAACGTAACCTGGTCTTGAGTATTTGATGCAAAAGACACCTCCTGTGGGTAAAACATTTAGATGGATTTCTCTAAAATACCTGGTGACGGCAGTTCTGTCTTTATTACCAGGATAGAACTGGGCTAGATGACTCAGACACACAAAGCTAAGTATATCCATGTCACGATACCATGTGATTTTAATACAATATTGTTTTCTCTTTTGAAAAAAAAAAAACCCAACAGTTTTTATGACTACGCAAGCAAAGTTAACGAAGAGAGTTTGGACAGGATTCTTAAAGATCGGAGAAAGGTAGGTCACGTTTGTTGCCCATTCCAACTTGGAAATCACTCCTCATCTCATCGCCCGCGCTTAACACAGGAAGGACTGGAAATCAGCAACGCATTGGTGTCAGTATAGACGAGTTCTGTTACCTTGAGTAAATTTTACGGAAAATTACAGATGTGAGCCGATGTTTACAATAGATCACTAGAAAAAAGGTTAGATGTTTGTAGTATGACTCTGTTATGTAAAAATCAGAAGGAGAAATGAACTATAATCCAAAAATTAATAACAGTTGAGTCGAGGTGGATTTATCTTCTACTTTGTGATTTAAAAAAAGAAGACTGTAATTAATACACATGCATTAATTTTATGATTTTTACCTTGGTATATAAATTCCAGAAAAATAGATCACACCTTCGCTCAGCTTTGAGCAATTGCACAGAGCTGCTTTGAACATTCGTGCGCAGGTGTCTGCACAGACACCTTCAGAACGAAATCTCTAGATTTCACAGGACTTGTCGCCCTGCCCTCCGGTTCCGCTGCAGAAGGTGATCGGGTGGTACCGGTTCCGGCGGAACACACAGCAGCAGATGTCGTACCGGGAGCAGGTCCTCCACAAGCAGCTCACCCGCATCCTCGGGGTGCCCGACCTCGTCTTCCTGCTCTTCAGCTTCATCTCCACTGCCAACAGCTCCACGCACGCTCTGGAGTACGTCCTCTTCAGGCCAAACCGGAGGTAAAGCCCGCGTTCCCCAGCCTCACGTAGCCAGGACAGGCGTGGGCACAGGCATGGAGATCTGTGACTTTGAAATGTGCGTTGTATAGCATCTATACAGAAAAGCTTCTATAATTCTCTTTTAGTTAGTTTTTTTGTCGTTAGAGAAGGTATTTTTCTGTCAGTTGTATAAATTAAAATAGTTTTGAATCAAAAAGAGTTAGCAAGATGTATGGATGATGCATAGTGCTTATAGGATTAAAACGCTGGAAATCACCATTTGCTTCTCCATAATCCACTATATAGAAATACAGTTTTATTGCTCCGGAAGTTTGATTATCATTGTAAAGCATAGATTTCAGGCAGAAGTGTAAAATTGATCCACCTCCTGGCTAATGAGGGTTTTACATTGTGGACGTCTTTAAAAAAAATAAAAATGGAAAGATGATCCTGTGGCCATGGTCTGCTGTAAACAGAAAGGCCTCAGGAAAGCCACTTGTAGGAGAATAGACGGAGTCGCCTTGGGGAAGAGTGTTGCTGTCGGTAGCCGTGGCAGGTTACAGGGCTTCTCAGCGGTGTGTCCTGGGCACTTACGTCCTCCTCAGCCCTGTCAGTCCCTGGGTGCAGGTGTACATGACCTCTGTCCTCAAGGAGTTTGCAGTCGAGTTTCCACTTTAAGGGCAGGACCCACCCTCATCCGTGCATCTCAGGCTGACGTGGCAGCAGGTCCTGGTGAGACCTGTGAGTCCCCACTGTGGAGCTCGGACTCCTGTTGCCATGGTCAGGTCTTCAGCCCGGACAGGGCCTTTACCAGTTCGCTCTTGACTCTTCCTCCCGCAGGTACAATCAAAGGATCTCCCTTGCTATTCCCAACCTGGGCAACACCAGCCAGCAAGAGTATAAAGTGTCCTCGGTGCCAAACACATCTCAGAGTTACGCCAGAGTCATTAAAGAGCACGGGTGAGCGGCCAGTCCAGTGGAAAGGGTGATGGGAAATGGGAAGTCAGGGTTGAAACTGAACATGCAGGTCTGTAATTCTGTAGACTGTCACCCTATAGATCAAAATGTTATTTGTATTGAAAAGACAGTTCGCATTTATCATTACCTTTTAAAAAATCAATTGCCACAACTGTTTTTGTAGTTGATATAAAAGTTTGGCTAGAGTATGTGTATTTCTGAGATCCTAAGCTGTGGTCACTCTTATTTTTTAAATGGCCTTAGTCACGTGGGTCCTTTTTATTTCTCTCCTGTAAGCTTAGTGGGGTGACACTGTGGCTGAGCACTGTCACCTGGGAGCTCCCATTAAAGACCAGATGACGGTTGAGGGCAGGAAGTGCCTTTCAGGGTCATGGCAGCTGCCTTCCTGTGACCTCTCTCCTGCTGTTCTCTAGCACTGACTTCTTTGACAAGGACGGAGTCATGAAGGACATCAGGGCCATCTACCAGGTTTACAACGCGCTGCAGGAGAAGGTGCAGGTACAGCTACTTCTCGTTTTTGTCTGTCTTGTCCTGCCTGACTGCTTTTTTTTTTTTTTTAATATATTTTTTATTGATTTTGTACAGAGAGGAAGGGAGAGAGATAGAGAGCCAGAAACATCGATGAGAGAGAGAGAGAGAGTCATCGATCAGCTGCCTCTTGCACACCCCCCCACCGGGGATGTGCCCACAACCAAGGTACATGCCCCTGACTGGAATCAACCCGGGTCCCTTCAGTCCCCAAGCCGACGCTCTATCCATTGAGCCAAACCGGTTCCGGCTGACTGCTCTTAATTTTATTTAATTTTTAATAATCTTCCAGTGGGGAGCCCTGACCAGTGTAGTTCAGTGGATAGAGCATTGGCCTGCAGACTGAAGGGTTCAATTCCGGTCAAGGGCATGCACCTTGGTTACGGGCACATCCCCAGTTGGGGGTGTGCAGGAGGTAGTTGATTGATGTTTCTCATCAATGTTTCTAATTCCCTTCCTCTCTGTAAAAAATTAATAAAATATATTTTAAAAATGAAAATTAAAAAAAAAGATAATCTTCTGCCAGGAAAGTGAGTTGTGGTCCCCAAGTCAGCGTGCATTTTCTGCACTGGCCTCGGCGTTCAGAAATGGGACCCGCTGGTCACAGCCTCCTCGGGTGGAGAGAACGTGCAGTGAAAACCAGTTTTCTTGCCCTGAATTCATGAACAGGCGTTTTTTTTTTTTTTTTTTTTTTTTTTTTTTAATATATTTTTATGGATTTCAGAGAGGAAGGGAGGTGGAGAGAGAGAGAAACATCAATGATGAGAGAGAATCATTGATCAGTTGCCTCTAACTCCCAGGCATGTGCCCTGACCAGGATCAAACCGTGACTTCCCAGTTCATAGATTGATGCTCAACCACTGAGCCACACCTGCCGGGCCAGGCTGTTTTCAGACTCTCAGCTCTGTCCAGGGCCTGCAGAGTGGCTGGTGCACATCTCACTGCCAGCTTTAGAGGCCTCTGTGAAAACACCAGCATCACTCCGCACCCCTGTGTGAATATTTAATTATACAGATGGGCCTCAAATGTTATCTGTTATTAAGTCTTGACCTAAACCTATTTTCTTTTTCAGCTCTCCCTAATTATGAATAGTTTCTATGAAATGAATCTTTTTTATGTCGTCTGGCTTGTGATTATTGATTATAAATAAGTTAAAAGCATCTCATTCCTGTCTTTTGTCCATCCTTTGTATGCTAGACTAGTATCAAAAATTCTTTTCCGTTCAATAGAAATGAATAATCCAGAGAAAATAAGTCTGTCCCAGCTTACACTTCTTTTTCAGGAATTTATAAGCGAAATAGCATAATCATCTCAACAAAATTAAGAAAGCAAATCCATGCATAAATACTGCCTCCCAGGCTGGGGGGAACGCCTGGCAGCCCGGCCTGGAGTGGGGCTGTGTGGCCGGTCCGCGCTGACTGTCCGTGCCATCCCCCAGGCAGTGTGCGCCGATGTGGAGAAGAGTGAGCGCGTGGTGGAGTCCTGTGAGGCTGAAGTGGACAAGTTGAGAAGACAAGTCACTCAGAGGAAAAATGAGAAGGAACAAGAGAGACGTGAGTATCCTATTTATCTTACCTGTCGGTGTCAAGGAAGTGTCTGGTCTCAAACACCAGGCGGTACGTGAGTTACACGTCCTTCTCTCAGCCTTGCCAGGCGGAGTCGGGCGGAGTCCATGTCTCTTAGGCTTTTCAGAGGGAAGGGCCATGTGAACGCCGTGCGCTTTGCCTGGGCAATGGGAACAGTAATAGTAACGGTGACGGTACCGCAGAGGCTGTTTCTGAAGTTTCAGTAGATTCACGTGATGTGTAGGAAGATATTTTGTAAATTAGGAAGCACTATTCAAACATAAAACAACTAAGAGTAATAATCAGTCTCCGCTTCGTTGCTGTTTTCCAGAACTTTCAGGTTGACCGTGTCATGCATGGAGATGCGGCGGGAAGTGCAGACAGTGACCGTGTCTTCTCTTCCCACAGGGCTGCAGCAGGCGGCGGGCAGCAGGCAGGGGCCGCCCGAGAGCCTGGAGCCGGCGCTTAGCCCGCGGACGCCGTACCCGGGGTTCGCCGCTGACGGTGGAAGTGCACTGGCAGAGGCCGAGGCCTCGGACCCCCCGCCCCCTTATTCAGATTTTCACCCAAACAATCAAGAAAGTACTTTGAGCCATTCTCGAGTGGAAACAAGTGTCTTTATGCCTCGACCTCAAGCTGTGGGTTCCTCCAGCTTTGCCCCCAACAGTGCTGGACTGAAGTACCCCGGAGGGGGAGCAGGGCTCCCTCCCCAGAGAGCCGCGGGGGACAGCGCGGAGGAGACAGACGACAGTGATTATGAAAACCTGATCGACCCAACAGAGCCCCCCAGCAGCGAGCACCCGCCCTCCAGGGATTCTCGGCCCACAACACATCCCGACGGGGCCTCCAGGAACGCTCAGACCTCCCAGATTTAACTCCCAGAGGGAACTCCATCAGCACTGCTTCTTAATCACGACTGGAGAGTTTTGTGAGAACTAAACCCGGCGGGAGAGCTGTTTCCCCAGACCCCGGGCTCCCGAGGGCATCCTGGGCACAGAACTGGCAGCCGCGCTTCCCCGGGCTCCCTGGGCCTCCCCGGCCACCTCGCAGGTGTCCCGACAGAATCACTAAGATAATCAAGTTGCCCTACTTCTGGTGCGATCATGGAAATCCTGGTAAATTCAGGCAGAGAAACCTGTCGGCAGTTTCTGTTCTTTAAAATAAATTGGGAATCAGAGACTAAGCACAATTAGTCTATCAATGTTCTGTAAATCAAAACTTACCTCTTGCACTATCATGCCTTGAAATTCACTTTTTCAAAGGGAAATGAGTTTAGCAGCAGCCTCGAAAGAACCCTCTTTCTGTGACGAGCCAAATTCATCTTTGCCAGAAAAGAAATTGTGATTAATTCCACGAAGCCCGATCAGAACAGACCAGCTGAACCTTCTCTTGTCTGCATGACTATAAGGTCAAAGGGAGGGCTTAGTTTTACCCGTTTTCTAGTAGCCTGGTACGTATTGTCACTAAAAATGGTTGCCTTTAACAACACGTAGAAGTACTAATTACCTGTAAGTAGCCACCCAAATAAGTATGTCCTCAGACTCCTTTCTCTGGTGGGATGACAGTCACTCTGGGTCGCACCGGCCACATTACGGTCTCTGGAGCCTTAGATGAAGGACACGCGGTGGCCAGGGAGGGAGCGCCATCGCGAGCTGAGCTTGGTGATGGACGGGACCCAGCGCGGGTCAGCCGTCACGTGGACGGGACGGGACTGCACTAGCCTGCCTGACAAATCTCAGCGTCAGCTTTATTTGTGGAGGGAAGACATTTGATAAGCTGTTTGAGAATCGTGGTGAATAGACTTATTTTAAGTCTGAATAACCATACTTTTTTTTAAGCTGCCATTTGGAAGAGAATTGTGAATGTCGGACTTCCTGTTAGGATGCTCCTGTATTTTTATTTAATTACTGCTTGTTTCCTAGTTTTGCCCAGAATGTGTGAAACCACGGAACACATCCTGAGCCTGTCAGGCTTCTGGCCAGGGAGTGACCAGACGGCGTGGTGCGGAGGCAGCCACGAGCTGCTGTGGGCCATCACTGCCTTCGCTGTGGACTGGAGCCGGTGGGAGGGAGGGGGCAGCGTCCGAGGCTTCGTGGGGAAGCAGTCCCGTGGCCCGGAGGGAGCTGACTCCCAGCTTGGCTCCAGCGCTCAGTGAGCCGTGCGGACTGAGGGAGCCGCCGGGCCGCCCTCCGTCCATGTCCGCTTTGTGGCCTGGTCCTGCCGTCCGGCGCCGGCCTCGAATCACCCCGTGTGGCGGGAAGCCTCCCAGGCGTGTTCTGGTGAATCAGCCCCCCTCCCCCTGTGGCCCAGGTCCAGGTGAATTTAAGTTAATTTCTGTAAGTGCCATTGCCATCTCTCTGTTCATGTTTGACCTTCGGAAATACGTTTATTTTATGCCATACTGAGAGCTACGGTGTACACTGACCAGCAGCTAAATGTGACAATAAAGCCCATTTAATCCTGGCACCTCTGTCTTCACGTCTGTCTCGCATCCACAGTTTACCCATTCTGGCAGTTCTTAGGAGACAGTACGGTTTTTTAAAAATATATATTTTATTTTTTACAGAGAGGAAGAGAGAGGGATAGAGAGCTAGAAACATCGTTGAGAGAGAAACATCGACCAGCTGCCCCCTGCACACTCTCCTCCGGGGATGTGCCCGCAACCAATGTACATGCCCTTGACCAGAATCGAACCTGGGACCCCTCAGTTCGCAGGCCGACGCTCTATCCGCTGAGCCAAACAAGCTTTGGCTCTACTGTATTAAAAAAAATAATAAAATAAAAAAAAATATATATATATGTATACGTGTGTATATATATATATATTTTATTGATTTTTTACAGAGAGGAAGGGAGAGAAATATACAGTTAGAAACATCGATGAGAGAAACATCGATCAGTTGCCTCCTGCACACCCTCTACTGGGGATGTGCCCGCAACCAAGGTACATGCCCTTGACCGGAATCTAACCTGGGACCCTTGAGTCCGCAGGCTCACTCTGTCTCCACTGAGCAAAACCAGTCAGGGCTCCGCTGTATTTTTTGACCCTCCCTCCCTCTTCATCCCTTGAAAGTATGGTGCAATGGAAAGAGGATCTGACTGGGAAATCTAGAGCTTTGTTTTCTAATTCCAACCTAGATGGCCTGGCCTTTGGTAAGCCACTTACCATCTCTAGGCCAGTGTTTCCTAAACTTTTGACATATGTGTACCCCTTCTATAATTTTCGTAATGCTGAGTATTCCTCCTACTCATGAGAACGTAGAATTAAGCGCAGCTAAGCACGGTGCAGTGCATATCCCCACCAAACTGGTGCAACGCGTACCCCCACCAGACTCTTCCCGTACCCCTGGGGGTACGCGTACCACACTTTGGGAAACACTGCTCTAGGCGTTCGTTTCCACACCTGCACAGGGTGGGCGGGACTGCCAGGAGCTGGCTGATGGCAGTCACCTGGGGGGGGGCGGTGTTTAAGCAGAGCCGGGCCCAGGCCTCCGGCGATGGCTTAGATGGCTTCGGTGGGTCTGCGCTGCGGGCAGCCCAGATCTCGTGTTGGGAACGCTGCTCTGGTAATGCTAATCACGTGCCCTCAGCTTTAACCTAGTCCTTCTGGGGCTTGTCCCTCCTCTCAGTCACAAGGTAAGTTCCCTGGACTGTCCCGAGCACGTTCCGCCTCACGTGCCAGGATGGGCATTTCTGTCTGCCCCTTCCGAGGCCGCAGGCTCCCCAACACCTGTGCGCTCCCGGCACTCTGCTCCCGGCACTCGGCAGGCTTGTTAAACGGGGTGTAGTTAGCGATATCCTCCTCCCTTAAACCAACTCAGCTCAGCTCACCCACCCGCCCCTGGCTCTCCGTAACTCGTGGGGGACGTGCTCTGCAGCTGCGGGTGAGGGGGAAGCTGAGGAACTCAGAGGCTCTTAAAATATTTTCCAAGCGCAATGTTGGTCGAACCACTGTTCTTACACAATAACATGGTATTTAATTTGATCTACACTTATGTTAATTATGTGTAAGAATGTGTGTGACGTTTTATAAGCAAGTGGCTGTTGCAATCTAAACTGGATTTATCGAGGAGTCCTGGAGCAAATGATGTTGCTCTGGGAAGGGGGATTACTGACAATTTCCATCACAGAATACAGTGTACCGGTGACTGTGGAAGAGGTGTCACCGGAATGGCTGAGGGTTCGGTGTGTCGGTGACTGTGGAAGAGGGGTCACAGGAATGGCTGAGGGTTCGGTGTGTCGGTGACTGTGGAAGAGGGGTCACAGGAATGGCTGAGGGTTCGGTGTGTCGGTGACTATGGAAGTGGCTGCTGGCAGGAGAGCTACTCAGTTGTTATTCCGCATTGCCCACAGTGAGGCCGCCTCCACAGCCCGCCGTATTTATGCATCCTCTCAGAATAGCACTCGGAATAGTTTTACTAAGTGAAGTCTCCCTGCGGGTTTAAAACCCCATTAACCTGAGTGCCAGCCTTCTGAAGGGGAGGTGTCCAATGCTGGATGCCTCTGAGGGCGCCAGCTCTTCCTCACTAACTTAAAAGGCTTCACAACTTTTTTCCCTTTTGCAATAAATGTTATTGTGTGTTCCAAGGGAGAACTGGAGCCTTCCTGCCCCCCAGAGGCCTTCCTGCCCTGGGGGGGGGGGAGGGGGGAGTAGGAACAGGGAGAGGAGGAAGGGGAGCTGGAAAGAGGGTAGAAGGCAGGGGAGGCAGGAAGAAGGGGAGGGAGAATGAGGGGAATGAGGAGGAGGGGGCTGAGGGAGCTTCTCCACCGCTTCCCCTCACCCGTGAGGACCTGGGGGAACCCATGTCCTAAACCCTCTCCCCCCTTCCCCATCCCCCTCATCTTCAGGTATCCAGAGCCCTTAGAAAGGAGAGGAAGGGACGGAGCTTCAGAATGGGGGACGGAGCCTGGGGGACACAGCTGGGGTTCTAAGGTGACGAGGGCATCTGTACCTGACTAGGGAAGGGTGTTGGGAGAGGAGGGAGATTTAGGACTGGGGCACTGAGGCGGAGAGTAAGGACTTGGGGTACACGGATGGGGCAGGGGAGAGTGAGTGCAGATGAGGAGGAGGTCGGGGCTGTGCGCTGGGATGAGGGGAGGAGTGGTTAAGAAGTGGTTTCAGCGGGGGAGACAGATGAGAGAAGGAGAGGAAGGGCTGTGGAGGAGTTCTCTAGGAGGGAAGGAGGCTGGGTGGTTTGAGGGCTGGCCGCAGGTGAAGGTGAGGAATAGGCAGAATGGAATGCTCACAGGAAAATAAAGACTAAGGCCTGAGACCCAGGCAAGGATGGGGGCCTGCGGACCTGAGAGAAGCCATCTAAGCACGAGGGCTGAACAGGAAGGGGTATTGGGATAGAAGACAGCACTTCTGGTTTTCACAGTAACTGTCGGTATCAGAACACGTGTGCTCCACGAATTCTACAGGTTTGGAGAAGGTAACAGATTTCCCCGAGGTCCGACTGAGGAAGAGCCGGGTCTAACTGGGACTCCAGATGGTTTCACCCAAAGCGGGAGAAGGATGGAGGTCAGAGGACGGCAGGTTTTGCCCAAAGAAACCAGGACAGGGAGCTGCATGATACCTGGGCCATCTCTGGAACTGGACACAGTGCAGGTGGTGCCGTCTAGCTGCCTGGGGCAGTGGGGGGGGGATAAGGCAGAGCTCACCCCGGGACAAGGCCACCTCAGGCCTCTGGATGTGTACCTCATACTGGCGTCCAGTCTGCAAGGCCACGTGGAAGTTTTCCTCCTTGACTGTCCTGCTATCTGCGAAGCCCACGTTTATACAAGTCCCCACGGTGTTCTCATCACACATCTCGGACCATTTCCTGTCGCCGTGGTCCCAGGACCAGACTGCGCCCTGGCTGCGCCTCTCCGGAGTGGGAGCGCACTGGGAAGATGGCACCAGCACCACCACGGCCCCCGCTAGGCCCGCAACCAGTGCTTCCAGGCAACAGACACCTGGCAGCGTGGGCCTGAGAACCGGTGCCTGTCCGTGGACAAGCAGCTGGAGGAAGGAGCCACAGATCACAGACCCTGGCCACCTCCCTGGGTGTTCATTCTGTACCCTAAGGCCAGGCTTCACAATTTTTAAAGAGTTGCTACATTTTAAGGTTTTTCAAATTCTCGGGGGAAAAAATCTGAAGAATAAAAAATGCAAGGCGACATCACGCTGGGAAAAGACCAAGCCCACTGGCGGGAAAATGTGGACATACCTGCGGGGTTTCGGCAAATGGCCACGTGGCTGACTCTGGCCATAGGCACAGGAATGAGAGAAACATGCGAACCCACCACCAGTAACATTCTCCTTAGAGCTTGTGCTCTGGGCCTTCTCCTGCAGGATTCCTTCCGTGCTGTTATTTATTCTCCGCTTAAACTTACAATTTAAAGAAGGGTAAAAATAAAAATAAAATAAAATAAAATAAAATAAAATAAAGGGTAACCACCTCTGAATTAGGAAATAGTAGAAAAGAGTTTTTAAAAAAAGTTATTTTATTGCCAGGACCGGTTTGACTCAGTGGAAGAGCGTCGGTCTGCGGACTGAAAGGTCCCGGGTTCGATTCCGGTCAAGGGCATGTACCTTGGTTGCAGGCACATCCCCAGTAGGGGGTGTGCAAGAGGCAGCTGGTCGGTGATTCTCTCTCATGGATGTTTCTAACTCTCTATCCCTCTCCATCTTTGTGAAAAATCAATAAAATATATATTAAAAAAATTAATAAAATTTATTAAAAAAAAGTTATTTTATTGAGATCCCATTGGCCTATAGCTCCACGGCTTTTCGTCTTGCTGGTAAGTGCATACACACGTACGAAGATTAGAAACACGAACACACACCCGGCCCCGAAGGTGAAAAATAGACAATAGGAATGAAACGGAAACAAACAACCTCGGCTTTTATCTTCTGGTGTGAGCGACAGTGAGCGAGAGTGGAGCGGGCGCCGCTAGAAGCCGTCCCTCTGGAGACGCCGCCGGGCGCACCTTTCCCCGGGGGCTCTGACGCCGGGAGGCGATGGGAGGGCCCGGCGCCTGCGTGCCCCGTCCAGGCCCCGCCCCGCCTGCGTGCCCCGCCCCCCGCGTGCCCGTCCAGGCCCCGCCCCGTCCCGCCTGCGTGCCCCGCCTCCGCGCCCTCCTACGCTCCCGGCGTCCCCGCACCCGCGAGAGTCAGCAGCCCGAGCTCGCGGCCGCCTCACAATCAGGGCCCGGCGCCGGCGTGACGTCACCGCTCCGCGGCCCGCCTTCTGCGCCCGGAAAGAAGCGGCCGCCCATTGGCTGCGCCGCTGGCGGCCTCGGGGCCAATGACGGCGCGGCGAGCGGCGGGGTCCGGCCTTGACGTTGTGCTGGTCGCCCTAGGGTTTATTTGGCTCCGGGGCCCCGCACCGCCGCCATTACGATCCCGCAGCGTCCGAGGTCGTTCCCCCTCCTCTCGCCCCCGCCCCGCGGCGCCCGGCCGCCCGCTCTGCGCCCCTGTGTCC